AAATTTTCTTTTATTAAAATTTCTTAAATTAGCTGGCAGCTCTCAAGAAAAAAATGCTTGTATATTTATTTCTTCAAGAAAATTTACAGGTTTACGCGGTTATGAGGTATTTACGCGTTTCCATGATAACATAATGATAAGCTTTACAGACTAGATACAAAGAAAAGGAAAACAAGATAATAAAAAGAAAAACACTTTGACTCCCTTTTCACTCCATATTCAAGCAATCACACGTTTCTGGGACCCAACCTGGACAGCCAAAAACCCAATTCATTGAAAATGGTTTTTTATGACAGTTTTTCCTCCTACTAATTATAACTTTGAATTGTATTTAGAAAAGGTCTATTGGTTTCCTTAACTTAGTGCTATGGGCTGCCTGGTATTTCAGCAGTGCGGTCTATACAAATTTTCTTGCTTATGTCTAACAAAAATGGCTTTGTAACTTTTATAAACAACTTTTTTTTTCATTCCCNGAAATTTTCTTTTATTAAAATTTCTTAAATTAGCTGGCAGCTCTCAAGAAGAAAATGCTTGTATATTTATTTCTTCAAGAAAATTTACAGGTTTACGCGGTTATGAGGTATTTACGCGTTTCCATGATAACATATGATAAGCTTTACAGACTAGATACAAAGAAAAGAAAAACAAGATAATAAAAAGAAAAACACTTTGACTCCCTTTTCACTCCATATTCAATCAATCACAGGTTTCTGGGACCCAACCTGGACAGCCAAAAACCCAATTCATTGAAAAAGGTTTTTTATGGCAGTTTTTCCTCCTACTAATCATAACTTAGAATTGTATTTAGAAAAGGTCTATTGGTTTTCTTAACAGTGCGGTCTATACAAATTTACTTTCTTATGTCTAACAAAAATGGCTTTGTAACTTTTATAAACAACTTTGCTTTTCATTCCAACAGACGCCATGACCACCTCGCACATTTTGTCCGCCGTCGATCCGGCTGGCATGAGTGGCACAACATCGAATAACAACAACACCAACAACCACAACAACAACAATTTGACGAATGTAAATGGTGACAATACCAGTAGCGTTGGCCTATCACACCACAGCGCCACCAACAACAACAATGGCAGCCATTCGTCGAGCGCACATTCACCACACGCACAGCACACACATCACAGCGTCGCTACGGGTGGCAGCGGTATTAGCGGCGGCGGCGGCGGTCTTATTCATGGCATGGGCAGCAGCATAAATCATCTTGGGGCGCCGTTGGCGACAAATCGCAGCCCCGGCATGGAGCGAAATCTGCACGTCAGCCTGGATGACCGTGAATTATGGCTACGCTTTCAGAATCTTACCAACGAAATGATCGTCACGAAGAATGGCAGGTGAGTACGAAGAAGAAATGGGTGGAGGGCTTGGAAAGGACAGGGTATCATTTGTGTGCCTCAGCACTTCGCGTGTGCAAATATATTGTGCTAAATGGGATGAGTTGTTTACCACTGGCTTTGCAGCACATTTAAACTGTTTTTCAATGTCAACAGTGTGCACCCGTTACACAGACTTATGGCGTCCCCATAAAGCCGCGTCGTAATTGGCAATGATGTTTCTATTGTTCGTTTGGTGTTTTGTTTTGTAATTAGAACATTTTTTATGTGTTGGACAAAACAAAAATAGTTTTACGATAGTCATAATTAATAGCCAGCGCGCTTTGCATGGGGTGTGATGTTTTTCTTCACGCTTTTACAAGCAGATAGTCTAAAAATAAATCTGGTTTCATTGTACTTGTAAACAAGCGCTTTTCGCCTTCAGCACAAATCAGCTGTAAAATCGGCGTGTATGTTAGAAGGTGGACACAAACATGTTTAATGTCGCAATTCTCACTAATGCGTCATTTATTTATTTTCATCTTAACAGACGCATGTTTCCAGTGGTTAAGATTAGCACTTCCGGTCTGGACCCAGCCGCCATGTATACAGTACTGCTGGAGTTCGTGCAGGTGGATTCACATCGTTGGAAGTACGTTAACGGCGAGTGGGTGAGTTTGGCTTTCTTAAATGTATGCGCGTCAAATCATAATTAACGCAGTGCCATGCGGATTTTCTTCAGGTGCCCGGTGGCAAGGCGGAAGTACCTCCTGCGAACCCTTTTACGTGCACCCGGAATCACCGAACTTCGGGCACACTGGATGAAGGAGCCGATTTCTTTTGCGAAGGTGAAACTGACCAACAAGACGAACGGCAATGGCCAGATTATGCTGAACTCGCTGCACAAGTACGAGCCGCGCGTGCATTTGGTGCGTGTGGGTTCAGAGCAGCGCCATGTGGTTACCTATACATTTCCAGAGACCACAATTCATTGCTGTAACGGCCTATCAAAACGAGGAGGTCACATCGTTAAAGATCAAATACAATCCATTTGCGAAAGCCTTTCTGGATGCAAAGGTAATTTTCTGTTGCTACTTTTTGTTAAGATAGCGCCATTTCTAATGAAAACACACCCTATTGCACAAAGGAGCGTCCCGATACGCTGTATTCTCATGAGGCACCCTACGGATGGCTAATACCACCGCCGACCCATTACACCAGCGTTGCACAAGCGCCTCCACCACCGCCACCAAGCTTGGCGGTATCGAATTCTCCCCTAGGCATGGGTTGTGACCGCTATGGACGTACGCTCAGCAGTCGCAGCATGTCTGCACATAGTGCACGCGCTTCACCTTATGCACGACCGCGTTTGACTCCAACCACTCCTGGGTCGAGCTCTCCAGGACCTGGTAATTCTGGCGTGATGAACGGCAGCACTGGCAGCGCTTCGCCACCGCAGCAGCCACCTTCAGCGCCACACACTCCGACAAGCCTACAATCCGCACATACCACAAACTTGGGCGTTAGCGGCAGCAATGTAGGCATGACCAGCTCCGCAAATCCAGTTGGCTCCTTTTCAGGGTTTTCCAGTTCCTATACACAGTCCAGCTTCATGCCGGTGGAGCCGAGTTCATCGATGTTCTCATACGCGGGTGGCTGGCAAGGCAACGGCGGTTATTGGAGTTCGCCGGCAGCAGTTAGTGCCGTTCCGCCGACAGCAGTGCCGGTGAATGTAAACCAAAGCAGCAACAGCGGCAGCGGAAGCGGCGCTGGTCGTGCGATTTGTGAGTCATGCATAGTAGCGTGTATGAAATGTGTGATTAATATTCTTTTCTATATTTTGCAGCTGCACACAACTCTCCATCGCCGACAAATGGTGGATCGCCGAATTACACCAGTCCATCGCCAGGCTATACCATTCACCACCTCACACCACACCCGTCGCATCAATACAATGTCGCACAGTCAGCGGCGGCAGCAGCGGCACATGCAGCTGATATGTATCAGACCAGCACGCCCACACAGTCCTATGGTGCACCACCAACGCACCAAGTTTACCACCCAACGCCCACCTCGCCCTCGCACCAGTTGTACACGAACGTATTTGAACGCGCCCACGGCGCTGAGCTACGCGGGCACCTCGTGGCACAATGGCGGCGGCGCTGAGTATGGATTGTATCAGAACGCAGCATATGGATATCAGCCGGAGTACATACCGCTGGTATCGGATTTGGGGTAAGTTCACAGCAAACGGAAATCACTTCCTTTAATTTCGATCTGTTTCGAGTTTTGCTGTTTGAAAGTGAACGAATACCGATTTCGGAAGAGTTGCTGTTGCCTAAGCGAAATTCGAAACACTCGAAAACATGCTACTGTCCCGACTTCGAACTAATTTAATTGAATGTAGTTTTTATTGATATCCCCCACCCATCCATCAAACACCCCACACCCTGCCTTCCATCACTTTCTCTTATGCACCAACAGTTACTACCTCACATCCGCTTGAACCCATCGATGTTCCTAAATCACATCGAAGATCCACAGGCCGCTATCTATAAGTCGCCCCCCAGCAGACCAGCAGTGAAGGCGGCAGCGGCGGCGATGGCAGTTCAGTTCTCACTTTGGAATGCAGCAATTTGAAAGTCCACTCGCCATCGGTTGCCGTAAAGTTAGAGACACTGGACAGTGTTGTGCCGCCCAGTCACGAACGTGCATCGGTGGCCGCCACTTCAGCTGTAACCGCAGCCCGACTACGTCGAGCGGCACATGGACGCCACTCACACCACCACAGAGCACGCTGCAGTAGAAAGAAAGCTGAGAAAGTGGACAGAAAGCCTTCAGAAGCCGATTTGTTCAAATAATTACTTACATACATACATATGTATATATTAAAGAGCCTATAGTTTGTTAAATTATTGAGGACAGAAACCTAAACTTAAATATGTTTACATGTTTTTTTTTTTTATATTTAGTATGCAACTAGTTATAAAATAATCTTTAGTTGATAAAAAAATATGGAAATTTGTGCTTATTTGCTTAGAAATAACTTGATGAACTGTATCTAAACTTTGGTTGAGAAGATGCAATAAATAGATTTAGTAATAAATTATACTCGCTATTGCCTAATTTTATTATATTTTAATAAAAAGTGACGATATGCATTTAGTACTTTCATAGAAGATGATACCGATGTCGTATTTAAAACTGATCAGATGTTAATCGACAGCGCCGCAGCGCAGGTAAAGTGTGTTGTGATATTATTTTTAATACCCTTACCCGCACCAGTGGCGCAGTCTGCATGACTTAGGGACCTTTACATTTTATGTTTTTTTTTTTAATTTTCGCCCTGAGTCACAAACTGCAGGAGTTAGTTAAGTCTTGAGATGCAAAACTTTTCAGCTACAGAATAGATTTTGAGAAAAAAAAACACAATTCGTATTCAGACATTAATTCATATTTAATTATCGTAAAATTTTTGCTTTTAATACAAATCAACAAACAAAATTTTTTAATAAAAACTGTTTACTTATTTTTTAATGATTACACCGTGCGACAAGAACCGCAAAATTTCAAAATACACGAAGCATTCAATATACTTACGAAACTAGGCGCAAAATATAGCAAAGCTGCATTTTTAGTTTTTCTCTCTGAAGTCAGGATTTTTTTAAGGACTTTGAAGTTTAGCGAATTTATTAATTCAAAGAATTATTTTTAAAGTTCAATGCAATGCAGAATAGCAGTATGGACGCCAAATAAAAAAAAAATATTTTGTGGCACTAAAAAAATATATACTTTTTTGTTATTTCACAGGGACGAATTAAGTTAGAAGGATGAAATTTGAAGATGTTGGTCCTTAACGTATAATTTTTTCAAAACTAAATATTATAAATTCAAGGGTATCAAAGGACACAATTTTCAAAAGACATANTAGTTATCGAGCTATACAAATTTATGGGATAATCGAAATTTGTCAAATAAATGAAATTCATCAAGTTACCGATATTTATTTAATTATCATTATTTGTAGAGTTACCGGAATTTATCGAGTTATCGTAATGCATCGAGTTCTTTAAACTTATAGAGTTATGGTATTTTGTTGAGTTATCGGATTTTAGTATTTTTTAAATTTATCGACAAACTGGAATGTATCGGGGCCAATTCCAAGTCCTGCCTATGTCCTCCAAAGACCTTTAAAGATATACAAAATTTAAGTCACGTTTTACATAGTTCCAAAGCAGAAGATTTACGAGTAAGTAATATTGTACCTTATAAGTTAAACGGCGTGCTAAGTTAGAAAATCTCTTAAAAGCTTTTAAAAAACTAAAAAAAAGGTTGAATTTCCCATATTGTTATTTTACATTGCAATGAATTTTTAAAATAATTTTTTTAATTAGTTATATCCTTGAAGTTTCAAAGTCCGTTTTAAGAAAACTTAAAGCGCAGTTTTTCTATTGGAGAATTCACAATGCATTGAATGTTTTAAAGGCATACAACTTTTCAATATAAGATAACAGTTAAAATGAATTTAGGGAAATCGTAGTGTGTGATAAGAGCAAATTATATATTTCACAAAAAAGCATTTTAATCTTTAGTTTATGTTGAAACATTTTACGATTTGAAAATATTAAAACGCTTTAGATGTCTTGTAAATCACCTAAATTTTTGGCCCCTAGTTTCGCAAGTATATCTACTGATTTCTTTTTGGTGTGTAAATATTACTGTGGCTCGGTGTTATAAAAAACCATTAAAACTCAAGAGCAAAATCATTCACATACAAAGTTTCTTTATTATTATCTAGCTATTTGCTTTCATAGCTTTCTTAATCACTAATTTATCGTTGTCTAAAAGTTTGCAGTTTTGATTTCACTTTTTCTTTCAGCACCTTTTCTAATTATGTATGTATGTATACATATATATGTATTTATGTAGAAAATCTCACGAGCTGTTACATTTTTCGACAAACACGACTTTTTGGGCGAAAGTTTATTCAAATGAAAGTTTAAAAAATATATACATACTAAAGAAGTAAAAAATTTTTGTTTCAATTAATGCAATTCTTTTTCACTTTTAAAATGTCACAGATATACCACGTGGCATTCGTTTTTGTTGCCGACCACTTGACTTTTAACAAGTTTATGACATTTCACTAAAACCATGCCACCGCCAACTTTCTTTGCCTCTAATCTGAACATTCTCTTTAAAAACTTTCAAAAGCTATTAAAAAAACAAAAACAATTGTGATTATTGAGTGACAAACGTTTTAAGGCGATAACTTCTCAATTATTTGATTTATTTTTTATTGAACTGGAACTTCACTGATTGAAATACTACCCTGCTCACCTTTACTTCAGACGCTTTGAAACATTTCTGCTTCAAGATTTTATGTAATAAAAGTGTGAAGTGTATGAACTAAAGGCGGGCAGGGTAGTAAATGCAAGAAGAATGCTTTAGCGATTTTATGTTCTGGCGGGAGAAGATATTGACACTAAAAACAAAACTACTCGTGAGATTTGCTCATATACAAACACATATACATATGCTCTTAAACTAATTGTTATATATTTACATCATTAAAATGAGTTACTGTATTTCAGTTTTTGCCAACCGTTACGCTGCCTCTTTAACTGTCTTAAACTATTCGGTAGTCCATAGAAAAAGTACATTGACAAGCCTGTGAAAGGGGTTAGAAGAAGGTGTACAAACATACATACAAAGTACATATACAGATAGAAAATGTGGTAAAGATGGTAATGGTTTTTTTTTAAAGATGTGTAAAATTTTAGAAAAAATTTTGTAACAAAAA